TTCCCAAAGTGCTGGGATTACAGGCGTGAGTCATCATGCCTGGCCATGACTTTGCCTTCATGTTGATGTTAATACCAGGAAGTAATAAGGTTGCGTTTGCATACCTCTTGGGGACTTCAATTTTCCTGCTGAAAACTGTTCTTGTAACACTTAAATTGTGGTGAGCACTTTAAATTATGTGAGCAGTTTAGCTCTTAAAAATTCCCTAAAATGCTTTGGTATTGAACTTAGACTCAAATAAGACATACCAGGCAGACAGAAAACTGGAATAGTTGAAATTTAAAATAATCAAAATTTACTGAACAAATATGCTTTAATATAGGGTAAAATAACAGAAGAAAGGCAATACTTTATTTCCTTAGTGATTATTTGAAAATTGTCCATTTCTTCTTTCCCTTGTCCTCTTTTGCCTTTTCTGGCCCTTTCTAAATCACTTTCAGTGAAAAAAGTAATTTACTTCTTAGAACAATCAATTATGTATGCTTTTTCAGCTAAGAATTAAAACATGGACATTCTTACATCAAAATTATTATTGTTTTTCTTTTCTTTTGCCTACCTGTCTCAAGCCACCCAAGCCGTAATGCAGTGGCACAATCTCAGTTTACTGCAATCTCCACCTCCTGGGTTCAAGTGATTCACCTGCCTCAGTCTCTTCAGTAGCTGGGATTACAGGCGTGCACCACAACACCCGGCTGATTTTCGTATTTTTAGTAGAGACGTGGTTTCACTATGTTGAGCAGGCTGGTCTCTAACTCCTGACCTCGAGTGATCTACCTGCCATGGCCTCCCAAAGTGCTGGGATTATAGGCATGAGCCGCCACGCCCAGCCTTTTTTTTTTTTTTTTAAACCAAAAACATTTCCCTTAGGATGATTCTTTATATTTGTCTTCTTAAATTCTTTCACTCTAGTATCAGAAAAAAATAATAAACAGGTTCTCTTATCAAATGAAAGCACCCTAAATACTAATTTCAGTTTTCAGAATATACTCCTATTTTCAAAGTAGCCTGTGCATTGCTCTTCCTTCCTTCTTTTTTCTTTTTTTTCTTTTGTTTCTTTTTTGAGACGGAGTTTCACTCTTGTTGCCCAGGCTGGAGTGCAATGAAGCGATCACAGCTCATGGCAACCTCCGCCTCCTGGGTTCAAGTGATTATCCTGCTTCAGCCTCATGAGTAGCTGGGATTACAGGCATGTGCCACCATGCTTGGCTAATTTTGTATTTTTAGTAGAGACAGGATTTCTCCATGTTGGTTACGCTGATCTCGAACTCCCAACCTCAGGTGATACACCTGCCTTGGCCTTCCAAAGTGCTGGAATTATAGGCGTGAGCCACTACACCTGACCCCTTCTGTACATTTTCATTCTTATTTCAATAATTTTGTGTTTTTCTCACTCAACCCCCCTCCCTATTTGATAATAGTCTGTCCATATATTCTTCATTATCTTTATCGTTATCTACATCTTTGTAACCACTTATTGATACCTAACATACCAGACATGGTTTTAGGCCCTCTCTATGTGTCATGTGTGATTCTTACAGCAGCCTACAAGGTTTCACATATTAGGAAATTGAAGCTAAGAAAGGGTGGTAGGCAGAGTAGTGGCCCCCAAAGATAATCACACTCTACTCTCCAAAACCTGTGACTATGTTACCTTACCTGGCAAAAAGGACTTTGCAGATGTGATTGATGTTCAAACTTTGAGACAGGGAGATTATCCTGGATTATTTGTGTGGGCCTAGTCTAGTCATATTAGTCCTTAAATGCAGGTCATCTTTCCTGGCTAAGTTACGTGGCAATGTGAAAATGAAGGAAGATGGCTGACTTTGAAGCCAGAGGAAGGGGCCACAGCAAAAATGGAGGCAGCTTCTAGAAGCTGTAAAAGGCAAAAAACATGGCCAGGTGCAGCAGCTCATGCCCATAATCCCAGGGTTTAGGAGGCCCAGGTTGGAGTTTGAGATCAGCTTAGGCAAAATGGTAAGACCCCTGTCTCTATAAAAGTATTAAAAAATAGCTGAGTGTGGTGGCATGTGCCTGTAGTCTCAGCTAATTGGGAGACTGAGACAAAGGGATTGCTTGAGCCCAGGAGTTCCAGGCTGCAGTGAACTATGATCACACCACTGAACTCCAGCCCTGTTCCTAAAAACGAAAAAAAAAAAAAAAAAAAGGTTTTTTTTGTTTTTGTTTTGCTAAATAGCTTAGGCTTTTTAAATAATTTTCTTTTTCAAGCTGTTTCTGAATCTTGTCTTTGTTATTACAGTTCCTAAAAACGAAAAAAAAAAAAAAAAAAAAAAAATTTGAGCCAACATGTCATTTGCTGATTGGATTATTTGGCTTTCTTCTATGCCATGCTGCACTCTTGCTACCTGGAAGAGAACTGATGTTTCCCTCAGCACATCCATGAATCTAAGCAAATTCTCTTTCTTGATTCTTCTTTCCAGTCTCTGGACTACTAATTCATCTTTCCTCTCTATGTATATCTAGCACAGTGTGTCTGCTTCTCAATAGAACCCACATTGTGAATGACAGTGGAAAAATTCTCAGTCTATGTGACTGTCTCTGTAGTCCTCCATTAACAGTGAGTTTGAGAAGCAAAAGATGAAAACTGAAAAACGTAAGCAGATCCTATGACACCTATGTGGTATTTGCTAACTATATAAAGCCCTTTGGCTCTACATAAGTTAAAAGACATATTCCATTCTATTATAATCAGCTTGAGGTTAAAATGCAAGTTAAATTAGTATCCAATTTGTTTCACAAGGCTGTAGCTAAATTTCTTACCCACGCATCATCTACCACTCATGGTTTCACTGTCTCTCTCTATTGTTCTATTTACAGAACAAAAACAAAGAAGATGATGTGTAAATATTTACCAAACAAAGGACATTTTAGAAAGGATTCCAAGAACTCTGTACTGTCATTACCCTTACACTGAAGTTATCTTCTAAAGAAGCAAGGAGTGTAGTTAAAAACATTCCCTCAGCGTATATGCCTTGAGAGACTGGATTGCTGTTAAGCTGAAATTCAAGAACAGAAAATGTAGTGAAGTAGCGGAATGCAGAAAATGATTAGATGAATGAAATTATTATTAAAATGGTACCAAACATCTTGTTTTGCACAAATATTTATGGAATAAAATATCTTCCTTTTCTCTATGGGCATCCCTGAAAATTATATATGAAGGCTGAATAAATGCTTTGAGGTAAAAGATTTAACAGAGACATAAATATCAAATAGGTTTTCTTCTCTAAGAAAAAAGATTGCTAAATACTGGGATGGAATACTTAGGGAAATTATGAGCTACCTATTTACTTAAATGTTCTTTTAAAATAAGACATGTTCTTTAAACATTAGTGATGATTAAAGTAAGGCCAATTCTGAATTTTGGAGAATGGCCTGGTTGCTTCCTCAAGATTTTATTTCTGTATTGTGGGGTACTACGATTGGATAAGGAGTTATCCTGACCTTGAGAACTAAGAAGGTGATCTTCTTCATATATAAAGGCATCTTTCTATCTGCATAAACCTTCAAAAAGAGCAAAATGTTTTTTTTTTTAAGTCAACTAGTTTAAAAAAAAAAAAAATTCCTGGTCCCAATAATTTATTATATAAGATCTGTCATCTAAACTTTTCTGATGTTAGCTGCTCACTTTTTCCAATTTATGGCACCAACACATGAAACATGATACCACGCAAGGGATTTACCATGGTTTTCCCAAGTGAGAGTGGAGGTTACAGTAGTGGTGATGATGATCTCCTCTTGGTTTTGACAACCCTTGTAAACTCTGCGGCAAAAGTTTAGACTTAAGATCGACCTGAGGACTCTTTAACTCTTGACACATTTGTAATTTAACATTTTACAGCTCAAGCAAAGACAAAACAACATAGAAGTAAATATCTGGATTAGTCTAAAACCTTCTTTATTCTCAGATAACTCTGAATAAATTTATTTACCTTGAATAAATGCCTTTTGTCATTATGTATTTTAACTTGAAAATAATTATGTATTATATATTTTTAAGTCAAACTACATATCTTCTTCCCTATATAAGATTGAGGTTTGTGTGTCTTTGCTTTCTATCTATAATTAGCTTTAATAAATATAGTATATACTCAGAGACAAATGTATTCTATTTCTGGGCGCTTGAATGGCACCAACTTCCCCTTTTAAAACAAAAGTGTTGATTTTTTTTTCCAAAACATTTCATGGTGCCAGTTCCACTGAGTTCCCACTGTGCTGACTTTTGCTCCTAGGGTTGGATGAGCCGATCAATGAAGCATCTATGCAGAGCAGGCTGGCCAACATGTCCTACTACTGCTTTCTTCTGACCTGTGAAGTAGGAAGACTTTGGGGTATATATGTCTTGTTTTGGATTCCCTGTTTACATTCTTCTTTCTTCTGCTAGTCACATCCTGATTATTCTTGGGTCGTCACCCTTGTCTAAACGGTGTTGTTCACGTAGAGCAGATTTCACTTCCTGATGTCAGGAAGGGCCTAATCTCAGATGGGGGCATCCTGTGTGCTTTATCTTTCTGGCAGTAGTGATTGTTCCAGTAACTGTTATGTGATCCAAGATATCCAGTATGTCTACTCTAGGTTATTTGCTGCTATAATTGGGAAACAGTCATCCTTCTTGCTGGTTGCTAAGCCAGCAGGACATAAGCCTAAAACTTTTGAGAACAATCTTACTACCACAAAGGTTAGACTGCTATAACATAAAGCCCCAAGTGTATCAGAGCTGGCAATTCTCATGAACGCAATTCCTAATGAAACTATAAGAGAACATAGATCCAGACACAAAATTTCCCAGGACTTCTGAGATATGTGAACAAAAAATTGTCTTCTTTCCTATGTCTCTTTGAGGAGCATTTCTCTTACTTGCAACTGAGTCAAGTCTTATTAGATGATTACAAGTATAATGAATCACAGAGGCATTTTAGTTGTATTACAAAGATCCCAGAGTAGATCAGGAATTAAACAATTTCCTTATTTATTTCAGGAAATAGGTTGGGGACAGTGGCTCATGCCTGTAATCCCAGCACTTTGGGAGGCCAAGGCAGATGGATCACCTGAGGTCAGGAGTTCTAGACCAGCCTGACCAATATGGTGAAATTGGGTCTCTACTAAAAA